TAGAGAAAAAAATGCCTTTGTAACTATGACATAGAAATTACTACGGTATAAATTATGATCAAGAAAATCACTTTTTTAATTAAATTCTATTATAATGTTGATAATAATAACCTCATATGTATGTTATTAGTACTAGTTTACTATTAAATATATAGAATATAATTGAAGCGAAAAATAATTATGATTTTAGATAAGATCAACCATTTTTTCTCTCAGCGTAAAGACACGTTAGAAAAATTGAAGGTTGACTAATTCTCCAAAATAACGAAGATCACGAAATTTCTCGGAGGATGCAGCTTGATACTTTCGCCAATACGGCAATAGCCGTTCGTGCCGCGCTTCTGCACCCGTTAACATGCTCGTCGGAACTTGCACAGAGCGCAATCAATGGTAGATATAATAATAGCAATAACGTTCGAGACGCTTTGACAAGGGCTGTGTTGGGGAGCCTTTGAGGGTACAAAATGCTCGCTGCCTCGTGGCTTCAACCCAGGAACCGAGCGCATATTGTTCCGCACCATGGTACAGATGCGCCGAATAAGCTTAACAGACCTGCAGCTGCATACATATATACAATAAGGCTTATACCGGCGGTAATGCAGTTAAATTCGCACACGTTCGTGAGAGAAATCGGATAGGCGTAAATTGGATGACCACCGAGACGCCGTTGGGAGAACACGCTAGGTGTTCGAAATTGTTTTCGCAGATTCCGACTGACTGACTCCTCCGCAACGAATTGCGAATTGCGCGCGTATGGTTTGCTCGCGGACTTAAATATCTGAACGAACTCAAGTGCAAACTGCAACTTTTCTGGTTCTAAAGATGAATCTGCTCGAAACTAAAGGAGATGTATAAATTTGTCAGCATGTTCGCGACATTCAGTTCGTTGAAAATCGTGATTGATCAGAACAATCTTATGGCCGCATAAAAAGTTCGATCAGCGATTTTACAGATATGAGCAACCGTAGGTGAATTGCGTGCAATCAACTATAACACGATTATTCCTGTCATTATATCAATTATTGTCTTAATCAGCGCAGTTAATGTCATGGACAATTCTGTAGGAAGAAAGAGAGAGAAAAGGAAAATGAAAGAGAATCGTTTCGCTGTCTCGGCCATTGCGTAGCAGCTTAATTTTATCGGACGCCTGTTTCCAGCATCGCGTCAATGACCCCCTCTCTTCCTCTCTCTTTCTTTTTCACTCAGCCGCTCTTTTTCTCCCGCCGGCTCGAGGCGCATTCCTAGTAAAAATAAGCGAGTTCCTCCGGCGTGGTTTCTGCAATCGCGAGAGAAGGGAACCTACGTCTTCGTCGTCTTCTTCGTCGTCGTCGTCGTCGTCGTGGTTTTAATGCGCAATATGCAACCGTCTAGACTTTGGGGTGCGCGCGATATATGCGCGACTGCAAAGAAAACGCGAGCAACGCGATACCGATGCGAGAAAGAAATCCTCCGGGCGAGGACCACCGTGATCAGGGTGAAGAATTTTTCAAAAAGAGGAGACTATTATCGAGACAGGAACACGGCATCTTCTTTCGCCTTTTTTATTAAACTTACTTTAACGGATGATTGTATCGTTAATTATTCGCAGGACGAATCATACAGTGTACGCTTACACGAAAAAAACATCTGTTCGTGTAACTAAATGGAGATCAGACGAAAAACTCGCTGACGAGAAATAACGTTTATGCTGCTATGATCGAAAACATTTGTATGAACATTCAGATCACATTAAAACTTGGTTGAGATAATTGTAAGAGCAATTGACTGAGTAGAAACCTCTCGCAGGAATCTATCGCCTCCTACAATCAAGTTTTACATTTGGTTTCCAGGTGACGGAAAATTTATACTAACAGAATCTCTTTCCGTATACACGTTTTATGTCTTTTTTCAATTAAAATAATGCGACGAAATTAATTATTTCGAGCAATTGAAATTGTGAGTATATCAATACGGTTCTATAATAACGCTTTTCATATGTTTCACAAGTATGAAATTTAAATTAATAGATTAATTACTAATATTAATTAGTAATTAGTAATTATAATAATTATTTGACGATAACCCGGCGGATATTTGCGCTCTTTATATCTCGTAAAATGTAATATTTTGATGAAGATATAAGTCCACGGTCGCGCGCAATTCACGGACTGTAGCCGAGTAGGAGTCGGGCTGATTATAATTCGAGAGCGCGTTTTTTTCACGTTCCTATTTCTTTCTCTCTCTCTCTCCCCCCCTTTTTCTCTCTCAGTGGACCTGGACGATCCCCGAGAGCGACGGCGCGGATATAGAATAAGTTCTCTCAAATTGCGGCTGAAAGTCGAGCAGTGGCTATCGACCGGCCGGCGCGAGTTCTATGACTTTCCCCGACATCTAAATTTATCGCATCGACGTTAGAGAGAAGCTGATCCGCACGATGATGACGGTGAGGCTGCGTGTAATAAGTTATCGTAGATCGGGGTTACTTTGATCCGCGACGTGCGATTGCTCCTGCTGAGATTTATAGGTATTTTGTGCACTGCTGTGCTGTCGCTGCTGTTACTCGAGAGCGCGCGTTGCGCTTCGAGCGATCCTTCAAGTTGTAAATTACACAAGCTCGAAGCAAATTACAAATATAATTACGGGCATCGTAAATCGAACAAGTTTGTTCAACTATATCGTGCGAATCGATATTATTAAGAGGATTCGTGTGAAATGCGGATCTGAGATGATTGCGGGCAGAAGGCGATTGGTTTCAATTAGTCGTCGTGCGACATAGCATCGGCAACAAGAACGTAATTTTATCTGTGTAAAGTGGAACACCAAATTAATGACATCTCCTTAGTCATTGACGTTTCTAAGAAGAAAAATCTAGTTTTTCATATATCCAGATGAAAAAACGGTACATGTGAACCAATCATTTTGTTTTTTCTATGCAACATTGCACAGAAAACTTCTTGACTGATGACTTCTTGCACTGATGATTTCAACTGTGAACAATCGCTCCATTGGTCGCGAAAAACCCAAGCTTTTCTAGACTCTCAATGACCAAGAATGGTTAATAATTGGGTGTTTTATCCTGAATCAATAATCCCGCATTAGAAAGAATCGTTAAAAAGAATTCATCTGTTATATCTGTTCATAGTTACAAGAGCATAACAAATTCCATTAACATGATAGAAATAATATAGTTCAACGTTGGGTTTTTCGCAGCGAAACACGGCAGTTCAATATTCATCATTGTTGTTACTACCATTATTTCTGTTTTCCTTCCTGCGACGATAACCGAGAAATACAAATGGGCATGAATTACGTAAGATATCGTGATGCGTATATCGCGTTATCGTCCACGCACGCGCGGTCTTGCCCGATAATAAAAACAGCACATTCCGGTATTTTAGACGCGAGCGTTGAACGTATGCTCGCGGATAGTTTTACTAGGAAGTTTTACAAGAAAAGAAAGAAAGAAAGAAACGTGCACGATCACTAGGAGAACGCGATGAGAGAAATAAGAACTGGCTGTATAACGTTATCGGGATTTTCCATCACGCTTCTCGAAAAAGCACCGTAAATAAAGTCGCGCTTTTTATCGCAACCCTTGCGTGCGCATTTTGGCGAGCTCGATGGAGATACGCGTGTGAATGCGACTCCTTCGCAAAACGCGAAATTCTTCAGAGCCCGGATCACAGAAAAACTTAAGCAGCAAGAAAATTTATCAATCGATTATTTTTCAATCGTAAGGAGAATTGACTGTGATTGGCCAATTTGCTTACTGCTTGAGTACTGCATATTTTCTACGTATTTCCGGCCTTATGCAGTGTGTGTGTGTGTGTATGCGCGCGCGCAATGATCACCAATACGAAAGGGGCAAATTGTCCGTGGGAGCCTTTAATCCAATACGGAATAATGGAAAGTAAATGCGACGCCATTTATGAAATTGAATTTGAACTGTACGGAAGAGAAATTCAGTTGGATTAAATCAATTTCTGGTAAAATATGAAAGAATCAGAAATTCAAAAATTGAAGTTACCAGAACTCTGCTCAAATTAACAAGATTTCTAGTTAACTTGAACAGAATTTTAATAACATTGATCGGAATTTTCTGAATCAGATTTTTCTCCAATATCCACTTTTCAACATAATCTTCATTCAAGCTGAAATCTAAAGCAAATATTTTCGAGTAGAATAATATTGTGCCTTTTGGATTATAGATCAAGAATATACAATATCATTCGAGATTAAAATTGGTCACAGGTCACCTGATCGTGGTAAATTTATTGTATTGCTTTTCAAGCATTTCTGCTTTTCGGTTTGAATTGCTCGATAAGGTTTTATTATGTTTTAAAGTTGTATACGTTGTTTTCCAGGAACCAACGTGCATTAATGTCGTTGAAATATAACTGCGAAGATTATTCTCGGCGCAATAAAACAGCAATGCTTATGCTGCATTGCACCGGTATTAAGGTTAAATTTTTCACATAAATCGCACGCGCTAAAAGCCTCAAATACCGCAGTGATATCATTGGATCCACATGAGGTATATGTAAAATGTAATTAAGGTCTATCGATTAACAGCACATGTGTTTTTAATAATACCTCGACATAGAGATAGACTTTTTCTATTATCCCGCAAAGAAATTCATAAGAAACATTCTAATTTTCGATTAAACTAGAACTACCCTTTGATGAAGAAGCGAAATGTTGTAACTGAGTCAGGCTAGATTTAAACATTGCAGTTTAAATTAATTTGAACAAACTCGGTAAAGATACACACTTGAGTGCGTGTCTCAAACATAAACGTAGACATTTCGATATTTGCACAATAACAAATACTCCTCAACACTTGCGTGCACGCGTCCGTCCGAGTTTCGAATTTTCCGCGCGTTTGAAAATCAAAACGTCTAAAACGGTGACGGTCTAAAAGTTCGAAAATCGCAGCTGTACGAAACATTGAATGTCACGCGATACGCGTGTCGCGTTTCGCGAAACCAGAGCGAAGCATGCGAAAACTAACCAGGACTCACCTCGTAGAAGTAAAACGAGTCAATCTCCTCCGTCGTGTTGGTGTCCAGCAGCGTGACATTGATGTAATCTGGCAAGAGGTAGAGTTCGTCGGTGAAGTTCCTCGTGCCAGCGTCGTGCTCTAGGTCGACGAGGACCGTATGGTTGCGATTGTCGCCTGTCCGGTCCACATCGATCCCGAACATGTTCGTTCCGATCGACATCCGCGGTCGCGACTAGCCGCTCCCCGTGATTTTTGCTCCCCGTGGAAGACTCATGATTCCCGACGACGACTACCGGTTAAGTGTCCGTCGATTCATTTCCGCAAGCACACGACTCCTTTGCCACGAGGAGTGGCCTCCGATTCTTCTTATAACGGTGACTTGACTCGGATCTTTTCTCTTTTTTTAACGTTTTATCCTACAACGAGGCAATGACAGCCACGTGTATAAACATCCCCAGTTTCTTCATCAATGATAAAACCTGTTTTTCGTTCGTTCGCGACTCGCTTGGTTGACTCACTAGGAATACTCGAACAACTCAGTTCGAACATGTTTTTCTCTGAGACAAGGAGAAACATGCATATAGAACTGCACGGGTTTTCACTTGTGCACAGTTACGTTCACTGCTGTCAAATTATTCTGTTTAGACGTGATAGACACACATGAAATTTCATTTGACATCATGATGTTTGCTGAACTTACACTTCAAAGTAAAATAGTTTTTCTTTTTTATACAAACTCTGAATTACAAGTAATAATAATTACTTGTAAAATAATTTTATAAATAATATTATAATAAGTAAGATAAAATAATAAATATAATGAATTACAAATTATAATAATCGAATAATTATTTTTAGATGCAACATAAATTAATCTTCAACTTCTCCCAAATATTTTCGTTATTTTTGAAGTATGCACAATACAACCAATATATCATTCAAAGATTCTCTTAGCAAAACAGACTAAGCAAATTAGAAGCGCTGCGACTGTTGCGATAAATCACAGCGCAATCCAAAATCGTAATGTACGCTATAAGTAAACGCTCGCGATAACGTGATGTATGAAAGTTAACGCAAACTCGGCACCGCACTACAGTAATGCGTTAGGAGTCGTTCTGTCTGAGTAGCAGGATCTTAATTATTCAGATCGTACAAAAACACAGCGACGTACTAAACGGCGAAGACAAATTTCTCATTGCACCGATAGTATCGCCAAGCTTCCGCGAAGTTAGCGCAGCCAAGAAAAATAGACGAACGAATCGATATCGAGGACTCGAGTCGTCCCGTTATGTTCGTCGAGAGTTTCTTCGCGCCGCGACGCTTTTCGCCCTCTCAGGAGTAGCCGCCAACGAAGGAAGAATTATGACTCCGGTTTTCACTTTTCGTTCCGACTCGCCAGCTACCACTTGAAATAGAGGAGTCTCGGTGTCGCTCATTCACGCGCGCGAAATTATCCGCGGGTCTCGTTCGCGCGCGAACAAACATTGGCTTGTTTCGGTGCCCGGCACTTCTCGCGGAAGATCTTGGCATGCCCGACGATACATATTTCGATCGTGTCGGGATGAATTACCGAGTATATTACTAGCACAACACACTGGCTGACAAGTAGACAAACAGCCATTGTGCAGTGACGGGAAGCTAAGCGGAGTCTTACGCCGCCAAGTATCGCTCTGACAGATGGAACATAAATCCTCCTCACCATCTCCTATAATTTTATCATCTGCGCGTCGTGAGTGAGCTAATGAAACTCTACTCGGCAGAGTAGTTGCTCGTGTGTAGATCGCTTCGTTTCACGCGACGAAAGAGTGAATTTTCCTGTCGTTTTCCGGCGAAAAGCTGTTGGCACGCCACGACAAATTCCCAAGAAATTAGTCGAGCGGCGTTAACGAACGTGTTACGTTGTTTGCGTAAGACAGTGATGAAAGAAAGTCGATAAAATCTATCTCGTGGAGATCTGTGTGTGGCGGCTCTGTGTGAATAGTTCCGCTCGACTCGACGCGACAAATACTGAACTTTCCCAGCGTTTTCCCAGAGCGCGAAGCTCCCGAGAGGAGCTTCTGTGAAATCAATCGAACAAACATCGAAATTACGGGCAAACGTAAATGAATACTCTGATGTGTGGGCTGAAAGAGAGAAGTAGATGTACCATAATGTGTACCATAATGTCAAGGATTGTAGACTACACCTGCTCAAGTCGATATGTCGCCCGCGGAGTGTCGTTTGATTAAGTGGTTTAGTTGTCCGACAGGCTGTTCCGTTTCGACTACGAGAAAACTGTCAGACAGTGGCGCGTAGTTGGCCGCCTAATTAATCACGAACCACTCCCTCCCTTTCCTATTCCCCACGCGACGTCACTATTTTATATTCTGCGAGTAAATTTCCCGAAGAAGATTCGTTTATTTCCGTTTACCGTTTGTTTCGATTATTCGCTCGTATCAAACTTCGGTGCCCCGAAACAGCGATACGTCCCGAAATATTTCCGACGCGAATTAATACGTGTGCTCGCATTGTTTCGAAAATAGTTGAAAGTGGAATCACGAAACGCCCGACATCGTTCAAATATGCCGGCGTAGGTTGTATTTCGCGGGGGATTTTTTCAACGAGCGTTTTCGCATCGAATAGTTCGGAGTATCGAATATATTGCTTTTTATCGATGGCTTTTTATCGAACACGTGCATTACTAACAAGCTGTTACTCCCGAGTTTTGAGACAAAAATTGCGAAATTATTATTATTTAATAAAAAGTGTGCAACCCGATATGCAACCGACTATAAATTTCATGCGGCATTTATCTAAATGAAATGTAATTTCAAGGTCATTTTACATAGTTTACAAATCATCTTATGCCTTGCGATAATTTATTGTACTTGCGTTATATAGTGCGCATCGATATACAGTGGCCATCACACGCCAGACTCAACGTTCTGCGAAGTTCTAATATCGAGGGTTTTCCCGAATGAAGAAGGAGTCATTTGCCCCTGACGTGGCTTACTACTCTAATTAATCTTCTCGGGGGCTGAAAATAATTTTCCGACCGGCCTCTCCCCATCGAGTTCCTTTCCTTCCTTTCTCTCTCTCCTTCTTTCCATCACATCGTTCTCTGACGGGAGGATCGCGCGACTCAGTATGCGCGCCCCACGGAAATAGAAGTTATTATTATTCCTTGGCACGAATGTTCGCCGCTAATATGACTTTTATGTGCCTTAATAATTTGTGAGAACGCGTGGTACGATTGGAAGTGGTACCTCGAAACGGAAAAAGAGAGAAAGACTGAGAGAGAAGCTTTTGTCGATTCTCAAGTGAATTGAAACGGAAAACGCGTGTCGAAATGGAATTCTTGAATCGATGGTACATTCTACCACCGGAAACCCACCCGAAGAATAGATCTGCACGCGCGTACGGTGGAAATAGCTGCCGAAATCGTGCAACGGTACCAAACGCTTACCGCTGCAGCTAAATGCGGCTCGTGTCGAACTCATTGTTACGCTGCTCTCGTAATACACGTGTAATGTTCGTGTGATAACAGTAAGTCTGCTGCTAGATGGAAGCTTAACGCGGTCAGTTCTAGAATGTATGACGACTCTTCGAAATATCCCGCGCATCCGAGTCAGAGAGATCGCGAATGGTGAGAACACGATCTCTGAGATCAGTTTTCTCCGAACGAATCGCTATGTTTTCGTTGCTAGATGAATAAACGCGGGGTATTTGCGACGAAGTCGGAAAACTCGTCGTCACAGCTGCTTCGCTTCCTACACTTCACGCACCAAAGTGACGCATGATCATCCGGCGACAGATTAATTTTAATCGTGACGTTCAACGAGACGTTAAACTAATTACATTTTGTCGAACATAATTTCTCGACTGGCCACGTTGTAGTTAACGTCAAGTAGTAACATAGATAAAATAATATTGATATGACACACCGACTTTCGGCCCGTGATATCACGGAGGCGATATCACGAAAACGCAAAGTGACAAACTAAATTTCGTCGCTGATTTTATGAGATGTTCGCGGGCGTAAAATTAATCATTTTGAAGTTTCTTTGTCGACGGATTTCCATCATCACGCTTTATGCGCTGATTTTTCTGATTTTTTGATAAGCTAATTAACAGTTAACCCTTTCCAGCTTTCTCAGAAAAGATGTTTCACATTAAGATGGTTAAATTCATATGAAAAACGTAAATATTGATATATTAAAAATATGTTTGAATTAGGTTTGAATTAGGTTTATTTCTGATCACACTAATTACAAATGGAATATAAAAAATCTAAATTTAAGATAATAGATTTTAGACAATAACTACGAGGAACTTCTGAACACATTTTCGATTACAGGTCAAAATCTACTATTTTGTACATATTATTGATGATCATGTCGATATATTTATGTAGTTATATAACTTTTATAGGTAACAGTCTTTTATTTACCAATAAAATGCGATTCTCTCTTCTTTAAATTCGCTGAATGAGACAGAGAAATGTCTGAGGAAACGTTGCTAGTATGCTAGCTAAAAATTGGATTTTTTTTTTAATTTCGATAATTATATTTTGTCGAATATATTAAATTTAATATATATTATATATTAAATTTAAAAGTATGCTAATTTTTTACATTTTTAATCTTCTTTTAAATAAGTCAAAGCAGACATCGAAAGGACTATTTGTCTTAAAATTATGATTTTTTTTCATAAATAGGTACGAAAGAATTAAATTGAATGTCTGTCTTAATTTAATTTGAAGGAAAAATCAAGACAAACATGATTTCATTGTTATTTAGGTTACCAAGAGCTTGGAAAATGCGACTCTATATCGAACATTCCCTCAGCCATTGACCAACGATATTCTTAATCTTCATGATGGATTCTCTGAAAAATTTTCAATGGACTTTTCTACCTTCTACGTGGAAAACCTACGCGCGAGTAATTACATTCCGTACTCCAATCAACGTGTCCGATTGTACCGCATCATGTCGTTACGTTAAACTTCGTTCGCTGTTTCTCCTAAAAAGTTACGAACTCGTTGTTGAAAAAAGAAAAAAATCGCACAAGACACAACCGAATACGAAATAGTCGAGAAAATTCGTCGCAACAAATTCACCTAAATCGACGTCAGTGCGCGAGAGCTTTTACGGTAAACTAACTACGTTAAACTGTCCTTCGACATCTTAGGTCCAACGTAGTCGAGAAAAATTACGAACTCGGCGACACAGGATTAATTTAATGGCAGCGATACTTGTATGTCAGGATACAAGTCGATTGACATATCCTGACAACACACACGGGCTTAGTGTCCGCCAACGACTCGACAGCTCGACTCGCGCATTCGAGGTTTCATACAGCCAGTCAGATCGATCCGCGTGCAACAGGATTATCCGTTCATGCCGCGGGATTACCGGCACTCTCTCCGCAGCTCCCCGCCGCAATATTTTATCACGCGCGGCTCTGTTTTGAAAGAGAGAAAGTACGCGGAGAAAGGAACGAGGGAAATATTTCTTTTGCGTAGGAGTGACTTATTTTTCAACAAGATTGTCCGCTCGCGGTGGTATTTCTGTGGGGAAAAAGAGTGAAAATCCTGTGACGACGCGCCGTTGTGTACACCGCGAATGCCTGAACGCGTCTGACACTGACAGCGAATTTTCAGGAGTAGTCGTAACATCTCTCTCGCAGAAACCGCGGCCAATATTTTCCGCGGGGTTCATTGAAACGATCGCTTTATCCCAGTTGGAGTCTCACCGGCATGCCTCTGTGTGTTCGACGATATATTTCTATTTGTTTATTTGTATACAGCAGTGCGATTCAGTTTCGCGAAATAACAGAAACGTTATAATCAAATACTATATTGTAAAACATATAGATTTAAAAAACGTAAAGATACTTTTCTTTTTTTGTGTGATTTTACGTGTACCTGGATAAGATTATTCGAGGAGAAATTATAAGAGAAATCACTGGCGAAAGATGAGATAATACGTGTTCTTTTTTTATTTCACAAAGAAACGACGAATATCAGGTGATAAAAGTGAACTACGTCCTTCTCTAATACTCCGTCCGCATACTAGTTATAGCAACAACAGCCTTCATCATATTACGGCTTTTAGTTAGAGAGTCTATTAACGAGAAGTGCAAATTTCGGTCAAGCTTCTTTGAGATATCGGATATCGGAATGTAGCTTGGCTTGTTGGGCATATGTTAGCTTCTTCTATTTGCAAGTGTGCAAGTAAGCAAAGAGTGTTGCGAGGTGTTACGAGAGCTGCTGATTCTAAAAAGATAATACCGCCGATGGATGGCTTCTCTTTGATCTCCCGCGAGTAACTTATGATACACTGCACCTACGCGTTCAAAGAAAAACATGCTATCGATGCTGGGGACTAATTGCGTAACGCAGTCGTTAGTCGGAGCGATTTAGGTGAGATTATTATTACATCACGCGAGGAGACTCTCTCAAAGCGAGGTGCAACAGCGTTTTTTAAGCTTTCGCCCTTCTCTTACCTTTTAATTTTTCCTTTTAATTTCACGCGTATGTCGCGCTTCAATTTCCGCGTTCTCAGCAAGTACCCGAAATATACAAATTCGAAAAAAACGTAATCGTTTCCGCGGTCGAGGGAAAGCAAATAAGCATTTCTATGAACAAGCATAAAAAGTACAGGGAAATAAAAAGAAAGCACTTACGTATTCGCGTTTTTATTCTATTGTCGAGAGAGTGTGATTGTACGTGAAATTACTATGTAGATACAAACACGGATATAAAGGAGAAAAACCCATGTATATATGTATATGCACTTGTTCTGTTCGGGAAAATAAGCGAAGACAACTTGGATATCGCGCAGACTTTAAAATCAAATTGTTTGCCACGGATTATTCGTCTTTTGTTTTGAATCTGAATTTACGATTGGTCTCCAAATTTATCATCGACATTTAAAAAAGAAAGAGCCCGACGATAAATTCAGTTTAAGAACAGAGAAGGGACAAAACTTGACTTGATCACGTACGATAAAGTAACTCTCAAAAATTCACCAATCTCTAGAACTTTATTCTCTAAAATTTTTTTAGCTAAAAACGACACAAAAAGCATCTCAAATATTGATAATTTATCGTTTCATGTAAATCCGGAAAAAAAATAAAGCAAACTCAAGTTGAAATGTTGACTCTATTTTTCATCTCAATGTTCAATTTGACGTTTATTTTGATACTCTGAAGTCTACAACAACCTCTTTTCTTTGATTCTATCTGACCCACTTATTTCGTCGAGAGCTCCTCTCTAGAGTCTACAAATATTTTCTTAATGTACACATACTCTGATCCCTCAGAATTTACAGATGTTAGTAAGTTCAGTTCAAGTTCAAGTCCAAAGTAGAGCAAAAATTTTGACTCCAGAAACTCCCATGAAAAATAACATTAACTAATGAAGTAAGAATTGAAAATCCCACGCAATTAATCTCTCAATCTCATCGTGACTTGAAGTACGCTGATAAGAGAATACTATCATCGATGCGAACGTATCATTTGATCACTCAGATTACATGTTTATCATATGAATACAATTATGAAACGACGCGATCGCGCAATTTTTCAAATCCAACTGCGGCTAACGAGTTCACAACTTAGATGAGTCTCTCCCGAGCGGGACGTCGCGACAATTAAACCTAACGCTCAGAATCCTCAAGGGGCAAAGCCCCGCGACAACGGCATTAGTGTTACAACGCCGTCGCTGAAGGATTAATGTGCTTATTTTACATGTTACACCCGGGAAATCGTGTTAGCGGCGAAAGGCGCTAGCGCCGTTCGCCCGTGGAGGATCACCGGAAGATGGTGCAACAACCCTTACGTGAAGCGGCGGTGCAGAGGAACGATCTCTCACGGGCATTAACAGCCTTCCGATTATCGCATTCCGCAACAGGTTACACGCTACTACCCTCCAAGTAGCAGGTCTATCTAAAAGCGAGAGACGTCTACGGGATCATCGGCGCAATGCGTGCGTCTCCTTCGTCGCGGCTTCACGGGCGAATTCACCACGTCTGTGGGCCGGAGCGACGCGACTGAGCGACGTCTACCCACGAATATCACCGCGAGAACACTGTCCGTCGACACGGGGCGCGAAACGTGAAGCGACCGGCCGGCCGATCGACTCCGCTCTCTCGACGAGCGACATCGCGATCATCAACGTCGGCGATGTCCGACGGATATCTCCTGAAAATCGACAATTCCGTCCTTTCCTGTGACGTTTCCGGCCTGCCGCCGAGGCTACTTGATGACGCGTCTCATGCTTTATTTCGCGTTTCGTTCGTCCCTTCGCCCTCGAACTCTCATTGATGCCGTCGACGGACGCTACGTGACACGGGGGGTGCGAAAGCGGTGCAACGGGAATAACGTCAGGGGAGCGAAGATAACGCAAGGTGGGTGAGGTTTTCTCAACGGTAGTGGATGCGAGCGAAAGCACACGCACTCGCTCGTACGACGCGCGGGACGCGACTGAAGGCACGTCGGAGCCGTGCTACGGGAAGAAAACGCCGGCGCGACGCGGCGCGGCGCAGCGCTCGCACGCGCCTACGCTCGCGCACGTGTCAAAGGACTCGCGAATTTTATTCCCTTTCGATAAACGAGCTCAGGTCACGGAAGTCATACGATCGCGGGGCGAGTTACGTACTTAACAAGTCTCGCGCTCGTTAAGCTAACGAGAGGGAGAGAACGGAAGCGCGACGATGCACGTTGCCGCTCGTTTCGCGTCGCGAGAAAGTACGAACTCTAATGCCGGTATAACAATGCCGCACAGCTGCTCTGGTATTTCGAAGGCAATTCCGCCGGTGGAGTTCGCATTGGCCCGATATTAGGTCAGATTGCTCCGACTGTAAGCGCAATAACGAGCTGCTGCACGTTTTCCTTAATATTGCGGAATAGCTAATAAATTGACGTTTGCGGCACGAGTGGGTACACACAATCGGTGCACGCTTGTGTGCAGCATGCATAGTATTTCACGTATGACATGTACTAAACGCTTTTCTCTCGCGACCAATGTATGGAAATTAAAATTGTACACTGAGAAAAAATATTTGTGTGATATAAAGTTTATTTCTGTGAAACTTATTTCTGTGAATGAACTTTATATCTCACAAATAAATTTTTTAGCACTTTTCTTTCAGTGTACATATGTTTCATACTTGTCTTTTTGCTTTTTTATTATAATTATGTGTATATAACATGTGTTTAAAAGTACTTACATAAAAGAAAGCGAAAAGTTCTACCTTCGTCTCACGTCTAATGTGACTTGTAGCTTTTTGTTTAAAGTAATTCTCGATCAACATTAAACAGTGAAGTTGAATTTAATAAAATTAAAATGGATAGAAGAAGAGTGGAATGAGTGAAAATCTTTAGAGATTAAAACTTCTGTGACTGACCTTTGCATTATAAATATAAGCAATCGTTTTACATCAAACATGCTCGTAAAGATTGCGGAATAAAAGTTTGCCGAATACTTTCGACAGAAATACCGTCAGGAATATTTAACAAACATCGCGAACACATTGTAATTGTACCGCTATATTTCCCGAATAAATATACTTGTTGCGCCAACAAGTGGTCGTATTTTATTGAGCTTGTTGTAATCTCGCTCAATTCCGATTGGTTCGCTCTAATCCCAGTCATTTGCGATCGATCGCAATCCGTTTTAATCATTTAATTCCCTTTGATATCGCGAAATCTTGCTCAATGTTAATTAACTTCCGCGCACCGTCGGAGACTATTCTTGCGATTTATTCAAGCCTGGAAGCAACCAACTGTTCAAATACATGTATACGCAGGTAAAATGTCATTTTCGTAAAATAGAATAGCACTTCGAGAGACACTTTATCGCGAACGCGCGCGATACGTTTAATTAATAAATTACTTTGCTGTACAACGATTTAACATTTGCGATTAATTATCGCAGAGCAAGTGATTTATGATCTTACGTCGAGATATTTGAACAGTATTTCGGGAACAGTATTTCGATCACAATTAACTTTACATTGTCGCACTTATTTAACAGTTATTGTCGGAAATGGCTGTATGCCGCGCTTTAATTCCAGGCCGAGACGCGAAGCAAAGGAGTTCACGTCGACTTCTCACGCGACGATCGCATCACTGAATTTTGCACAAAGCTTTCTCGACATAGCCTACCATCGATTGAGCATCGACCGGTTCCGCTTTAGAAGCATTCCTTCCCTCGACGAAATGCTCGCTCCAACTTTCGCGGAACTATACGGCGATCTATGTTACGATCTTCGTTAAGTGGTCAAACGCAATGCGGTTAAAACGGTATTTTGCCGTCGCTCGCGATACAAAGTGATTTATTTCTGCGCGCACGTACAGGCTGCTTTGAGACGGTTGATATAACGGATTGGTAATACTTGAGCGGCCCTTTTCCCGCTAGTTTCCCTCGCCGGCGCAGATCCACGGGAGAACTAACGACTCAGTATTGATCATTTCGCGGAGAGACCCGCTTATACACAGGTTTCTAAATTGCACTTGTTACCTCGCTACGAGAAATAAATAGACTGCCAACGAGAAGCACGAGAAATAAATGGAATTCTAGACATGCCGGCGACGTGATCCTACCGCGGATTTCTGAGCGCATTTCAACGGTGCATCGTGCAGCCCGCATTTCATTGCGCGCGCGTAGAGATTGCGTCGTTAAAATTTTGTAATGCGCACATTCGATGTAATAGAATGCTGCCACGCATATCGACTGTTTGTCAGGACGGAAGTGCATACATCCTCCTTCCTACCCGCATTTCAGCGCGTAGCACCGATGAACTTGATTGTAATGTACTTGACATGCGCTCAGAATTTCGAAAAGGATCCTTTTCGTCACGGTCGTTAGCAATTGACAGCGCGAGCGTGCTTCATTTCAATTTGACGGTTCTATTCTCTACTTCGTGCGATTCAATCGCGTTGAATACTCGCTCATCGGAGAGCGCATATTAAATAGTCATAGACTTCGCGTTCACGGGTCCTTTCGTCGCAATATTTCTTTACAAATCATTCGCCTCTTTATTATCGGGTGCCTTCAGAAACAGCTCATTAAAATCTTCTTTGGACACAGTTCGCTTATTATTTTAGATGAAGTAATCTGTCACTTAGTTTTTTATGGTTTCTTATGTGTGCGTGCTTATTTATCTTTATCTTTTTTATATTTATACCGTATGTGTTGTTATGCAAACATTTGAGAAGACTTGAGTGCAAAGTGCCGATAAACAGCGCTGTCTGAATTTGCAAGTATGAATTTTTGCGAAAGATCTACAGTTCGTACATTGGTAGGTGCTGGTACATATAGTGCAACATAAAACGGCAATTTTCTCAAGCCGTGAAACTTTTTTTTTATTTTCGATATTACAACACTACTTTACATAATTTCACTGTATTTTGTATAGCATTTTACATAAAATTATCCAAGAATGAAATAATTTATTTAAATGCTATTATAGATTAGCGATATTAACGATACGTGTATAACCATCAATTCAGTTTGAACGTCTATCATATGTGGATAAAATATATTTTTCTTAATAAATCAAAAAGCAAGCATATAATATGATTAAATGAACTGCTCAACTCAACGAGGAAAGAATGTTTATATATGAATTATAAAACAATCGTTGACAAAATTTTGGGGGAGAGATCACTGTTTTAACGACATTATTGAGATAAAATATATGGAATTTCTTTATAGTAAAAATTATTCTGCTCGTACTTGCAGTAAAAATTATTCTAGATCAGGAAAAGTTATTATTGAGCATCTCGTTATTATTGTCTCGCGCATGCGGGAGACTCACCTTACTATATTCTTTTTGCCATGATCACTATAGTGTTGGAGAATTTTTGTATACCAGGGAAGTACTCCTTTCCATTTTCATCCACTAAATCGGTGTAATCTCTTGACAGTAGTAGCTCGAATCCCGCACGCTCCGCCGATTTTTTAGAGAACGGCGAGGTAAATGCAGTAGATGTCATCCGAATATTGTACTCGCGTCCAATTTTATCTCTAAATCGACATTTAAATCATGACACGATTAGTCGTACGTAGAACTCCTCAGAAAGAAACGAGGAAATCGGTCTTCCCGTTTTATAAGCAACAATCTAATTTGATTTAATGTAGTTTTCGTACTTTTTACCTTTTGATCGAGTCGAACTGTATGATGATTTTGGACTATCGAGACTCTGTTGTAGGAAAGTTGTAGGAAAATTGTAGGAAAGTTTTCATGCAAAATCTTAGCCGGAATACGCGTGTCTTACCTAGTTTTTAGAAGGTCTGTGCCCAGTCCGTATCCTCGAAAAGCGGGCGCTACGCTAAGTCCAACGGCGAACATGTATTTTTCTACTCCGTAACGTTCGTACAATTGAAGTTGCTTAGTTAGATCCGACATGACCTTGTACGTAATGCCGAACTTTGATTGGAACTGGAAAACGTATGTATTGACGTAATAAATTGTCATTGCACAAATTGCCACTGATACATCAAATTGTCAATTATCATCAAACAAATTATCGTCGATTACTTTGCACTACAGTCATGTGCAGTTGCACACTGAGACGTGTGAACCGTAACGTAGACACAACGGAAAATTGAAATAATTTCGATAAAAAACAATCAACGGGACTCACGTGTAATTTCTTTTCTGCGTTCTCCTTAAACTCAATGGATAGCACGTTCATACCGGCTATTATAGGTTTCCCTCCTTTGGGATTATCAACGAAAGCGGCTATAGCCATGCGTTGTTCCATTAGACCACGCCATAATGTCCTACATTCTTCTACGAATATAGGCGTATTTATAGCGTCTGAAATGAAACGAATAATATAAATGCGTCGTGCAATTAACGCTACTGCAAAATAAATTTCTGAAGCTTTTAAGCAAAGAGCTGACGCATTCGAAATAAATATTTTATGATACAAACTAGATAAATTCGATTAGAGCATAAAATATACGACTGTCGACATTTTTATCACTTTTTACTCTAAATTCACAGATAAATCAAATATTTTCGGGACAATATTCTTGCTTCAGAGAAAGCCCTGTACGCCACAAGATCAATAATGTTACGGTAAATATTATTTACGATGTATAAACAAACCTAGAACTAATAGAGATGGTTAAGGATATATCTGAGCTATATAAAAATAGTACCAATTCGATAAAACTTTGAGTAATTTTTCCTTAATTATTTATAATATATTGAAAAAAATTTCAAGTCGATTCACTAAATCGTTGAAGAGTAATTATTATGTTAATTTTACACGTGTTCTTATGGCAAAAGCAACTTTCCTGAATATAATGAGTAAAAATGTATAGAAAAAATAGTACTAAAAATTTAAGTATTTTTATACATATAGATCCTGAATTATCGGAACTATTTGCAGAATTTGATTAGTTTTCACAACACGGTTTCAGAGAAATTAATTTTTATTTGTGACAATTTTGTGATTGTCATAAGGAGTTAGTAACTGGACTGTGGAAATGCAGCAACTTTGCAATCAGCTGGTATGTCAAACGAATAACCTATAAATCAGTATAATAAAGTTACGTCGTAAATTCTTGTTTTGTCTGCATTGTTTCATACAGAGGACAAGAATACAAATTAAATAATTTCGATGAACAATAGGATAAGTGTAAAATTTGAGGCTTTTATTGTTTAATCTAACCTGCCTGCATAGTGCATTACTGCCAACGTACAAGCCATAAACTACATGGTACACTGTTGCTAGGTTTAACTTTTTTCATTAAATATTTATAATAACAACAAATAATATTGATAGTTATTGTTAAGATCATGCATACCTGTTTTAACTTATCCTAATTATTTTTTCTCTGTTGCACTGATGGATATTGATGTTAAATAAATTTAACAAAATTTAATGTTCTAAAGTTGAATTCAGGGCATTTTCCCTGCCAAAAATTTTATTATAAAAAGTTGAAAAAAAAGCAAATAAAAGTAATAAACTGTTGAGAAAGTAAAAAATAACTTTTTAAATAAGAAATATATTATGTTAGCCACTATTTATATTACTTATCACTAGGTTTACAACAGGTTTGAAACATTTAAATTTTTCGTTTTTCAAGCACTTTTGTCACCGATTGTATCTCAGATACAATATACATCCTTAAGTGTAGCTCAAACTCGAAGTTGTGCGAAATCATCATTATGTAATGTATCAAGAGGCCTAAGTTTAATTTCGCGTTTACTATGTTTGCTATCAACTTTAGTATGTAATTATATATTTACTTTTTTCTCTAATTCCTCGGTGTTTACTATGTATGCTATCAACTTTAATATATAATTATTATATAATTATTTCTTTTTTCTCTAATTTCTCAACCTTCTATCTAATAACTACAGCTAACAATACTATACATACAATACAATTACGAGCATTTTAAATAAATAAATAATACATACAATATTATTACGAGCATTTTAAATAAATAAATAAATAAATGTTAAGCGTATGTAAAACGTATTATTCAACACATCATTCAAAATACCGAAACAAAATCTTCCAGAAGTAACTTAGTTTAGACATAAATGACGGCAGGAAATTAATACACAGCTTTCTCATTAACTAAGCGGTCAAAAGTCAAATGCTTTGTTTTTCTAACGAATCATCAAAGTCACTATGTCAGATTACATAAGTTTCTCATCAAACCTAAGATTAATTTAACGCTGTAAATTTTAAGAAACAAAGAGAAACAAGAAAATTGTTGCGCACCAAATCACTTTTTTTTTTTTAAATATCAATGTTTGCGAACGTATATCTGTCAAATTCTTAGCATTTAAAAATCGTTTTAATTAACTTCTTTTCCGTGCGATTCATAATATTCAATAATAAAATCCAATAGTCGAAAATAACAAATTTTCCGTTTGCGCCTCACTTATATTCATCATTAAATATATTAATTTTAATTCAAACGCGAGTTATCTGCATCTTCAGTTCGTGTCGCAATCAATATGTATGTGTGTGTGTGTGTGTCACATAAATATCGTTAAATAAATGAGAACGAAAGTGTGCAAATCTTATTCATGAAGATATAATTATCTTAAGAGTTATTTTTTCATTACACTATTTTCTCGCATTAACTCTTCTAATAGCATTACGTAATTGTCGATAAGTTAATCGATGTTATTCGCGTTACCAGTGACCAGAGAACGAGTAGAAGAGACTTACTGAAACACGCGCATGTCGGTTCATCCGCTAGAAAATGTGTGCACATATGGTCAACTGCTTCTTCGCTTCTATCCTCAGGGATCTCCTGGATCGTGAACTTGATCGGTCGTCCGTCTTTGCCCGTTTTCTCGATCACGTCCCAAATTCTCGGCGGACCCGGTGACCTGACGACTGTCGACATCTTCGCCACTTGTTTCAGTGCCTCCGTTATTTTTAAAAGATTTCGTCCGCTCATTTTTCTTGTATAGTACTGTATCTATCTCACAGTGTACTAAATACTACGCGACAAATGACGATTCTCGATGAACAGCACGGAAGGAATAAGTTCGTTGTCGACTGCTCCGTGATCGTCGATCAAGTGGACTGAAGTACGCATCTACTATTATCATCGCTACGTTACTCGCGATTGAGCGATAACCAACTTGCGTTGTCGTAACAAAATTATCATCTTTCTTAGTTATCTTATTTGTGCATATACAAATTTTTTCTTGCGTGAACTAATGATAACTTTCTTATCTAACTAGAACATTTAAGTTATAAATAACTGTTTGTTAATGATTCACTATAGAACGCAACTATGTTACATTTGAAAAACAGAAATAGGAACGAAGAGTTTTAACACGAATAAAACGAAAAAAATAACTTTTAATAACAATATGAAGAAAAGAAAGGCAATTTTATATGTTATATATTACTTATTTTATCGTAAAAAAATGTTATTCTCTTTTTTATGCAGATATATAATTTTTTATGCAGATAACTCGCGTTTGAATTAAAATTAATATATTTAATAATGAATATAAGTGAGGCGCAAACAGAAAACTTGTTATTTTCGACTGTTGGATTTTATTATTGAATATTACGAATCGCGCGGAAAAGAAATTAATTAAAACGATTTTTAAATGCTGAGAATTTGACAGATATACGTTCGCAAACATTGATATTTAAAAAAAAAAGTGATTTTGTGCGCAACAATTTTCTTGTTTCTCTTTGTTTCTTAAAATTTACTCTATTGAAAAATTTCTGTTGAGATAATAATAGAATTCCCAATTCAATTCTCAGTTGAATTCTCAATTGAATTCTCAAATACCGTTTCCGCAAAAATTCGCATGTAAGATCTCAATTGAGATATTTGTATCTGATGGAAATAATTTATTGAAAATATAATAAACTTTTGCTGAAATGCTTTTAAAAAGCATTCACAATTTTGACCCAATTTCATTAAAATTTCATTATAATTTCACTAATATTTCAATAATATTTCATTAAAAATGTAGAAAAATTCAGTGAAAAATCATTATTAATTAAAATAGATTGAGAAAAATATAATGAAGTATTATTTTGTCTAAATAATAAAAAAAAAACTATAATTTTATATTTTGTGTGGTTTCATTTATTTGTAAGATTTGCGTGAATTCGATCCCATGTCACACGGTCACCCATCTTTAGATGACTATGTGCTATTCAATGCCTAAACCTCAATGATCGTACATAATTTTTTTCGTGCGAAAATGTCGAGTTTTGAGCCGAATAAGCGTCATTTGCGGGAACTTTTAATTTACTTCTTTAATTTGAAGAACTCTGCAGCTGAGGTGCATCGATTGCTTGTAGAAGCATATGGTGAGGCTGCTTTAAGTGAGAGAAATTGTCGTGAGTGGTTTCAAAAGTTTAAGAACGGCGAGTTTGACGTCGAAGACAAAGAACGTAGCGGAAGGCCGAAAGTGTACGAAGACGCGGAATTGGAAGCATTATTGGAGGAAGATTCGTGCCAAACGCAAGAAGAACTTGCACTTACATTAGGAGTGACTCAACAAGCAATTTCACGTCGTTTAAAATCATTGGGAATGATTCAAAAGCAAGGAAATTGGGTTCCATATGAACTGAAGCCGAGAAACGTTGAACGCCGATTTTGCACATGTGAAATGCTGCTTGCAAGGCATAAACGAAAGGGTTTTTTGCATCGTATATTCACTGGTGATGAAAAATGGATCCACTACGATAATCCAAAGAAGAGGAAATCATGGGGACCACGTGGCCATGCTTCAACATCGACAGCCAAGCCGAATATTCATGGAAAAAAACTCATGTTGTGTATTTGGTGGGATCAGCTTGGTGTCGTGTATTATGAGTTGCTCAAACTGAACGAAATCATTACTGGGGCTCTCTACCGAACACAATTGATGAGATTGAGCCGAGCACTCAAGGAAAAACGCGCCCACTATTACTTCAGACAAAATTATTCTCCTGCATGATAATGTTCGTCGACATGTTGCGGCGCTGGTCAAAACCTACTTGGAAATACTCAATTGGAAAATTTTACCCCACCCGCCGTATTCACCAGACATTGCTCCCTCTGACTATCACTTGTTTCGATCGATGACGCACGGCCTATCTGAGCATTACTTCACATCATATGAAGATATCAAAAATTGGATTGATTCGTAGCTCAAAAGATGAAGCGTTCTTCCGACGCGGTATCCATATGCTGGCAGAAAGATGGGAAAAAGTAGTGGCTAGCGATGGACAATACTTTGAATAAAACATAAGATACCGTTCTTTCACAATAAATGCCCAATTTTTGATAAAAAACGGTGGAGACTTATTTGTACTCCCAATATTATTTTCTATTATTATTCTATTATTATTTTCAACTTATAAATTGTACAGTCTGATCAATAAATCCCAAAATAGCCTTTATATGTTTTGAAAAATATTTTTTTCTATTTAAATTGAAGGACGAACTGAAAGTTTAAGCTCATTCATTTCCTTTAAAGGAGTCAACTAGAACGTTCACGAAATGTCGCAAACAAATCCACGAAGTACGCGATATCTAAAATCTAACCAGGAAACCCAGTCTAGATTAAGTATTTTATCAAAGTCTACGATCTAATGTGAATCAATATCCTTAAAAAAATAAACATTGATTAAAATCAGATGTTTACAAAATGATAAGCTTTATCTGTTCCTTATCACAACGCACACATGGCATCTTTCGATACCTTGACAATATTTGCGATTCTAATATGTTTACTGCAGTATATGCATAATTTATAGGCATACATATATTAGTGTTTCTAATCTCTTTCGCATTTTCTTAAACAGATTTTATTATTTCTGAGCCGCTCTTAAAATATATTCGCGAATAATTCTTTTTTATTTTAATTTCTATTTTTTATTTTTATTTCTGCGCATTATATATTAGCATTATTATAATAAAAAAAAGTAAATATAATATACAAATAATATACAACGCGTAAATGAAATATATTATCACAATTAATTGCAAACTGCAACATTTTCATGAATGATTCGTATCTCTCTCTGTCTCTCTCATTCTTTACACTTTGTGATGCATTATATAAAATGTACTTTACACAATAAATACTCGCTGCAATGCAACTCGTAATGTAGATAAGATAATACTCCAATTAAGTTTTTCAACATGAAAAAACTGCATATATTTGGACTTTTAAACTTTTGCTTATTCATGTTAATGTTGATAAAATATACTGGATATATGACAGACACACACACAATGAAAATATTTATCTAATCTATTTGTTTAAAAGTATCTAACATTTATGTTGATTTGAAAAATATGTTATAAATAAAATGAAAAGGAGAATAAATTTTTTGTTTAAATAAGTAATATATAACATAAAATTGCCTTTCTTTTGTATAAAAAGGCTACTTTGTTGTTTTGAAGATAATGGAAATATTAGAAACTGAAATTGGACCTCTATATAAGTTATATACTGATAAGACCGAGCGAATAATGAGGCACGAACGCCGCAGCTTAAGTAGCAGTAAAGAAGCTCGGGTAGCTAGTAAACAACAATAAATTGAGCATAATAATTTGTTCAAAGAAGCGGAAGGTTTATTTCATGAATCAAGAATAACAGAATAGTAAAAATCAGCTGTAGGTTTACAGTTTTCTATACCTAAAACTTTAAACGCGTTTTTCTTGAAATGACTTTTTCTCAAACTGGTGTGCAAGATAATTCAAAAACTATTTGACCAATCGAGTTGCCCTTTTACATACATTTAGTTTATTATATTTACTAGTCGATGAACCTATAAAATCCATAAAATTATTTATTTAAACAATATTTTTGCATACATAACCAAAGATGTTTATTCAAGCGACATGTAAAACTTTGAAGTAAATATTTTTTCCTCTTTTAGTTTATTAGATTATTCATTTTAAAAACATTTATTTTACATTTATTTTACATTTATTTTTAAAGAGCTACTTTTCTGTCAATTAAAAATTGTTTTTCAACTTATTTAGGTTCATCGACAAATTATGTCCATAAAGAGTAAAAATTTTTTCTCGATTTTTGTTTCAGACGAATACAACAGGAGCTAGAATGCACGCCGTTTTACGTCGACTCTGCCGCGACGCTGAATATTTTTCTTGCTACATACAATTTATAAACATTTTTTCTAAATAAAAAATATGTTTTTAATACTTTAAAATCTCCTCCTTTAAAAAAGAAAGTTATTTTGTTTAATTCGTGTTAACTCTTCGTTCCAATTTCTGTTATTTATGATGCATTATATACAATGTACTTTAGGCACATGAATACTCGTTGCAATGTAACTCATATATATGTAGATAATACTCCAATTAAGTCCTTCGTTATGAAATATCTGCATATATCTGAACTTTTAAACTTTTACATTTTGCCTGTTCATGCTGGCAAAATGAGTAATCCAATAAACTAAAAGAGGAAAAAATATTCCCTTCGAAGTTTTAAATGTCGCTTGAATAAACATCTTCAGTTAATCATTTTTAACAAGTTTTAAGAGCAAATTAAAAAAATTAGTTGACCGTTAAAAAGTATTTATATTACGTCTGTTATATCTAGGTGAGTTACAACGAAAAATTACTTATACAAATGCAAAACTTAAGAAAATTATCCATGTGAATACTTTTTTGATCTTTTTTAACGCAGAACCGATGCACAAAAAAAGTATGTCGCGGAAATACTTTGGAAAATATGAAATAAAATAATACATGTCATATACAATATTTTCATCAGAGTAATTTTTATTATGTACATAGTTTTCTCTCGTACATATAGTATATATCTTCGTACAGAATAATTATATATACTATTTTTATGTTGTAAAGTGTTGATTGAAGTCATAATTATCCGTATTTAAGCTAAATTCTTTAAACTGTCCTTCTAGTTTGGCAGCTTTTTTTTCTGAAAATCACTATATTTTCTAAATAATCTGAGCGTGTATTTTACGTTAAATAATTAATTACAAAATTTCTCCTCTCGTTCTTTTCATACCTGTTCTCACTTTCATCTTCTTCTGTTTCTTAAATTGAAGTTTATTGAGTTTATTCAGTTTTTGATTGCCTTCAATCTCGAAAAGAGGATCTGTTTTCTTCTTTTTCTCGGCATTCTTGGTCTCCATTAACTTCTTCTTCAATTTTTTTTGTACTTTAAATTCCTAAACAGAAACATACATATTGATCGGATATTGCATAAAACAGGAACGCATGGCGTTCCTGATTATAAAATCACTGATTTCTTACAGTTTCTTTCTGCATCTCGATTTCCATAGCTGCCGTGACAGGTCCCGAACTATCAATCAACAGAGGATTTGCAACAGTAAGATTACTCGTAGATTCTGTCGCGAGATCGTCGAGCATCATTCTTTCCTCCGTGGCAAAACTTTCGATGTCAAACTCTTTAGCTACTTCACTGACAATCTCCGCGGATATATGGTATACCGGTTGTTCAGGTGGTACCGTATAATATCTAAAATTATGCGTAGTTAAAAATGAGAGGAAATGAAATTGCTCTTTGGAAAAGTATCTGAAATATCGCAACGAACCTAATTTTTCCGGAATTCCAATCATCCAGAATACTGCGCGCTGCAGCTAATGTATCAGGTATTCCGCCTTTCCTAAACTTTCCCATTCTTGCCGCCTTCATCGCGAAGAACTCATCTGGCGTCGAGAAGTCTTGCATATCGTACAATTCCATTATTTGGTTTCGCGAAACTCTCTTTAGAATAGCGGTCGCTGGCGTAAAAGGATCTTTCAATGCTTGAATTTTCACAGCATTTTTAAGGGCCACAGATGTTTCATCGGAGTTTACATCGGAACTAGCGAACACTATACCGGGGGAGTCTAGCAGTTTTATTTTAGAGTCTAATTGAACTGCCTGCATAGTTTTTGTTATTCCTACAAGTAAAAACATAACAAAATATAGATAGACATAGTTAATTTGGAGCCATTCGTGCAAATGATCACAATAGACAAGTAGATACACATTTAAAATATATTGTCAATATCAAGCTTCTGGACTTGATAAATGTTGAGAAAACTTGATAAAATTGAGAAATGTTGATGTTACTGTGGGAAAAAAGTGTTACCTGGTGTATTTCCCACATTGCATGCCTTGCTCCGTTTTAGGGAATTAATAACACTAGATTTGCCCACATTCGGGAGTCCGACAACTCCTACTCTGATACTTGTCTTTATGTTGCCACTGTTCCTGCAGTAATTTCCAAGGATAGACAAGAGTAATTCCGCACCAAAACAGGTGTTGCTTTGTATCATGGATTCCGTTTTTCTACCCAACTTTCTTCTGCCCAATCGATTTGTTTGACTTTGTGTGGAAGATTTAAATGCCACAGTTGGCAAACTACTTCTCAGATATTTCAACCACTGATCTAGATTTTCTCTAGGAACCAAATCTGCTTTATTCAAGACCAATACTAATCTTTTATTTCCCTTTGCGGATCTAACTGCTTCTTCCACCTGTATAAAAGGAAAAATTTATTAACAAATTTATTAGTCACTTTGATGCATTCATATCTCTGATGAATTTTTTTTTATCTACCTGTTTGCAACGTGTTCCTAATGGGTCACGAGCATCCACAACCTCAATAACAACATCAGCTGCATCCAAAACCTTTTTAAATTCTTTATAATAGGCTTTTAGAGAATTTTCTCCTTTAACTACAGCTTCCTTAATTTTATCTTCAACAGTATCGGCTTCCATAGGTTTGTGTGCCAATTGCTTATTCTCAGCCTGATTAACCAATCCTTGAAGACCACTCTTTGCAAGTTCCTCGCGTTTTCTCTCACGAGCAGCCTCTTTCTGCTTCTTCTTTTCTTCTTCTTTAGCCTTCTTCATAGCTTCAACCTCCTTTAAAATGTCTTCCTTGAAAGGACATTGATTTGGTATCTCCATTACCTTGTTTTTCTCTTAATTAAAATGAAATGGCACATATCAACGGTTTGTTAATGCAAATATACACGCTTAAAAATTCAAAGCATCGACTTACTTTTGGGATGCTTCTTGGCTTCTTTCTTTATTTTACGGTTGTGTTCACGGACTTTCTTTTCGATTTTGTATCTCTTTCGGGCCGACATACGTTTACTTGGCTTTTCTGTACATAATAATAGTATTAAATGCAAAATGATTTTATTCAATTATACATAACCTTAATTACACATAACCTTAATTTCGCGCACATGCGGTATAATTTTTTCATAAAATACACGATATTTTAATACTTACTCAAACAAAATTTTGCCATTTTCGATGCTTGCTAATTAAAGCACTCACTTAATCAATATTTTTATACTAATGTCTTTGAAATAATCAGATATCAATAAATATACACGTGTGCACAATTGTGCACATCTATCAGAATGTAAGTTTTTTTTTTTCTCTCTCTCTCTCTCTCTGTCTCTTCATAGCTTCAGATCTTTCCCAGCCTCTTTTCCTTTCACCATTTTCAGAGAATGTAATGGCTTTGCACACAGAACGCGGTAATGGCTTCTGCACACAAGACGCGATAATGTTTGCCGCGCGGCAAAAGTCCGCGCGACAGCCAATCAATATGTTGTTTTTCCGTAAGAGCTAGAAGGTTATTACGGAAAGCAGCATATTGATTGGCTGTCGCGCGAACTTCCGCCGCGCGGCAAGTATTGCCGCGTCATGTGTGCAGAAGCCATAACGCTTGCTACGCGGCGGAAGTTGGTGCGACAGCCAATCAATATACAATATTCCGTAATAACCTTTTAGCTCTTACGGAAAAACAGCATATTGATTGGCTACCGCGTTATTCCCTAAGCAGGAACCATAAGAGTGGAATCCCATGGCACGTATTTTCGCGTAAAGCCCGTATCAGATATTTGTATGTACTTGACCGGAAAAAAAACTCCAGTTGGAAAACTATTCTTTTAAATCGTTTGTATTTCGTATGAAGAGTTTTGAGGTGCAATTGAAAAGATTTGTAAGTCATTCTATTATTTGTAATTAATTATTCTTTTTTGGACCATGTATTTAGCCGGAAATAATGACCGAAGGTAAATTAAACAAAGGTTCTGTATGATATTGTTTGTATTTCGTATGAAGACTTATGAAGTATCATTAAAAAGGTTTGTGAGTCATCCAGATAATTTTAATTAACTATTAAAAAATCATGTATTTGACCGTAATATCGATCTCAAGCGCTGCTGTGGAAGTACCGTCAGGCATGATCGGTGTACTATCTAGTATTTCAATACTCATGGTTCATTTTCGGGTAATTATATAATAATAATAAAGCCTTTTTCGAATTTTGATATTTTTTGCAGCTTTTTTGGTAAAAATATTTATTTTGACTTCAACATTGATAATCAATTGGGGGAGTCTGAAAAATATGCAAGTTATATATTGTTTTAACTTTTTTTTTATTTTTTTTCACTTGTCCAACGTTGCTGCTTTCCCACAATTTAAACAAGTTACTGATCTTTTAATCACATTATGTAACTGCAATATCGAATATAATCCTTTTTTCTCTTAAACTTCAATTCCATGGAAATATACTTTGTTCAAATATTTCTACGTCCATGGTCACACATTTAATGTGTTGCTAATTTTTCTCAAAATCATCAATTATATACAATTAGATACGGAAATATGTAAATATGATGTGCTAAAATATTCTGGTCAAAAATAGGAAGCCTTATTGAAGTTTTATGTAGCGTCAGAGAGAAACTTGAAAATATTCCTGTAAAGATTTCAGAGGGCGCATTTTCCGACGCGCCTGACGAATGTAGTTTAAGCGCATTTTCTCAAAGGGCGTCGGAAAGATACATTCTCTAAAATAAAAATATATATTTTAAAGAGTTTAAATTTACATGCCTAAAAACCTATATTTCTAATTTTATATCTAAAATCTGTTGTAAACTTAACAAGAGATATAAGACAAATTATATATGTGCTCATATATATATATATATATATATATATATATATATATATATATATATATATATATATATATATATATA